ACCATATATGCCAATAAAGAACCTTTATTTTATAGTGTATTTATGTATTTATATATATATACATACACACACACAAGTTTGGGATCAGTAAGTCTTTTATGCTCATCAAGGCTGCATTTATTTGATCAAAAATACAGAAAAAAAAAACAGTAATCTTGCAAAAAAAAAAAAGTTTTCTTACATTTTAGATTTACACAAATCTTACATTTCACTGCTGGTCATATATTCTCTATATAACCATGTATGTGACAAATAGAAAAAATTGAAATGATATTACAATATAAAATAATGGTTTCTATTTTAATATCCTCTAAAATATAATTTATTTCTGTGATGCAAAGCTGAATTTCCATCAGCCATTACTCCAGTATAAAATGTCACATGATCCTTCAGAAATCATTCTAATAGGCAGATTTATTATTAGAATTATCAATGCTGGCAACAGTTGTGCTGCCAAATATTTTTTTTTGGAAACTGCGATACTTTTTCAGGATTCTTTGATGAATAAAAAACAGAATTTATTCAAAATATAAATCTTTTCTAACAATATAAATCTTTGCTATCACTTCTTAATTTAACACACCCTTGCTGAATAAAAGTTTTAATTTCTTTCAAAAAAAAGAAAGAATAAACACTTTAACTGTAGTGTATATTGTTAGAAAAGATTTCTAGTTTAAATAAATGCTCTTCTCTTTAACTTTTTATTCATCAAAGAATCTTGAAAGAAGTAACACAAGTTCCAAAAAAAAACATTAAGCAGCAACAGTTTCCAGCACTGATAATAAATCAGCATATTCAGATTTCTGAAGCATCATGTGACACTGAAGATTGGAGTAATAATGCTGAAAATTCAGCTTTGCATCACAGGAATAAATTAGATTTTAATGTATATTAAAATAGAAAAACGTTATTTTACATCATAATAATATTTCACAATATTAAATTTTTTCCTGTATTTTTGATCAAATAAATGCAGCCTTGATGAGCATTAGAAAACTCCTGTAAAAACATAAAAATGTATTCTGATCCCAAACTTTTGACCGGTAGGGTATAGTATATATATATTTGAATTCTTTACTATCATGTTGAAAATAAAACACTAAAAACTAAAATCAATAATTTTAAATGCTAAAAGTGAATTTTTGCATCAGCATTATAACGTCAAGACAAATTTATTTGTATGACACTTTTGATAATACGCATCGTTTCAAAGCAGCTTTACAGAAAATCATATGATGTTAATAGTTATAATATCTTAACATCTTCATGCTTTGTAATCGTATTTAGCTGATTAGAGCTGGGTGATTATATAGTTACATTTTTGTGATGATACAAGCAGTTGAGATTTGTTATATAATATATATAACTTGATGCATAATTTAAGTGTACTGTATATATGCAGATGAAGGTGTACATACATATGTATCTAACTTTATATAACGAGTTAGGCGATAGTTTCTAGTGCTCTGCATTTATCCCATCCAAAGTGCGCACACACACACACCGTGAACACACACCCGGAGCAGTGGGTGTGTTGCATGATGTATACAAGTTAGGAAGTTCATGCATGAGGTGGCAAAAACCGCTCCATTGTTGACAAGAGGAACTTGCAAATACTAAATAGTAAGCACCCTTCACACTGTAAAACAGTCCAAAGCATCTTTGTGGAATGATTTTGAAGTTGGAGGAAAAGAGATGGAGTTTTTCACCCAAAACTACTTCTTTGAACCCGAGTACAAGGATGAAGAACTTAGATACAGTGGGCTGACCATTGTGGAACAAGTCTCAAGAGCCAGAATACACAGACCAATCATTAAATTGACACAAATACTAATATATAGCATCGACCATTCAACTTTTAGACAGGTGCCCTTCTTCATAGTTCTTGCCGCCTCTTGCGTGACCTTCCAAACAACCTTCTGGGTGTGAACTAAACCGAGCTGGACCAAGGCAAGCATTTGTAGTTAAAAAGTATATCATTTTTGAATTTTTGTTCTGAACATTACTGATCATTTCTCCAAGCTGGATTACTTTAAAGCTGTCTGTGGATTTTTGACTGTCAAAATGGTATCATTAGATGGAGAAAAATCCTGGAATGAGTTCTTCTAAAGCCTTAATATCACTTTGGCTGAAGAAAATAAGGTGGGTGTTACTATGAATTGGTGACAGACTAATTAATCTGCCAATTTTTGTCAATTTCCAGATCTCACCTCATACACGCTGACGCGACATGTCTGATCACTGGACTCGTTCTTGCGCTCGTTAAGGAGATGCTGCAGGAGAGTGCCGGCCAGAGAGGTGTCAGAGATGGAGTTGTAAAGATCCTCCAGTCGGCCGTAAGACAGGTAGCCCAACATGTTCAGACCGTTGTCAATGAAGAGACGCACAAACTGGGGTTTATTGTTCATCAGGGCATCAGTCATGGAATCTTCTAGATCTTCATACTGCGTATGCCAAAATATAACAACTTTAATTATTCACAATACATAACGCATAACATTAGTAGTTCATGTACATTTAAATATGAATACAAGGTTGTGGTTTTTTTTGAGTGGCCATAAATTCCTGTGCTTCTGAGAACTTCGTGGCTGAAGAAAATAAGGTGGGTGTTACTATGAATTGGTGACAGACTAATTAATCTGCCAATTTTTGTCAATTTCCAGATCTCACCTCATACACGCTGACGCGACATGTCTGATCACTGGACTCGTTCTTGCGCTCGTTAAGGAGATGCTGCAGGAGAGTGCCGGCCAGAGAGGTGTCAGAGATGGAGTTGTAAAGATCCTCCAGTCGGCCGTAAGACAGGTAGCCCAACATGTTCAGACCGTTGTCAATGAAGAGACGCACAAACTGGGGTTTATTGTTCATCAGGGCATCAGTCATGGAATCTTCTAGATCTTCATACTGCGTATGCCAAAATATAACAACTTTAATTATTCACAATACATAACGCATAACAGATTAGTAGTTCATGTACATTTAAATATGAATACAAGGTTGTTGTTTTTTTTGAGTGGCCATAAATTCCTGTGCTTCGGAGAACTTCTGAGAAATATGGGATGACTTGGTGAGTTAGTTAAAGTATGTTTAATAGTACCATAACGTCTCAAAAGACACACTACCATTCAAAAGTTTGGGGTGGTAAGATTTTTTGAAAGAAGTCTCTTCTGCTCACCAAGGCTGCATTTATTTGATCAGAAATACAGTAAAACAGTAATATTATGAAATATTACATTTTAAAATAATGGTTTTCTGTTTGAATATATTTTAAAATGTAATTTATTCCTGTGAGGCAAAGCTGAATTTTCAGCTTCATTACTTCAGTCTTCAGTGTCACATGATCCTTCAGAAATCATTCAAGAAACATTTATCATTATCAATGTTGAAAACATTTGTGCTGCTTAATATTTTGGTGGAAACCGATACATGGTTTCAGGATTTTTTGATAAATAGAAGGTTCAAAAGAACAGCATTCAATTTAAATTGAAATGTTTTGTAACAATATAAATGTCTTTACTGACACTTTTGATCAATTTATTGTATCTTTGCTGAATACATTTATTAATTTCTTTCTTATGGGCCCCAACCTTCTGAACATTAGTGTACATAAAAATGATATTCCTTAATTTATGTGAATGTCATTTTCAGTTTTGCCACTTACGTTTATGCTTTTGGCAGATGCTTTTATCCAAAGCGACTCTTCATTCAGTGTATACATTTAATCAATTCATGCATTTCCTGGGAATCAATCCCAAGACCTTGGCTTTTTTATTGCCATGCACTGCTGTTTAAATTACAGTAACACTCAACAACTTGCCCTAGTTCAAAAGCTAATATTTCTTACAATTCTCTACTGTACCTTCCAGTCAATGTTTCCATTGAAGAGTTCACTCTTGGCAATGTCCACTCTGTTCCAGGTTACAGCCAGCTTCAACTCATCAACATAGGGATTAGTGGTCACTGAAACCCGCTGTTTACTCGCTAACACACAGCAAAATTACATACATTAAAATATATGACATGTATAAACACCAAATGTCCACTGTAGACAGGAGTTAGAAGTGGAAGTGAGGTACAAACACTGCAATAACCAGTTTAAGTTTACCTTGCACAAGCACTTTAAGCATCACAGTGTCAAAATCATCCGTTCCTTCTGCGTGATAAATGGAGATGAGGTCTTTTTTCTGATAGATGCTTAAAACCTTTCAGGAGCCAGCCAAACAACAAGAAAAAAAATAAGTCAGTGCTCAAAAAAAGTGTCTGTGATATGAACTGACTGATATGGAGCCAAATTACAGGAGGATTAAAATGACTTTAGAAAGACAGGAAGGTCTACAAGTAAAATCAGTTGACTTTAGCTATCCTTGTTGCATTATTTGCCAGTGGTGACAATGAAAAAATTGGAAACGTATGTTTAGTGTTTTTCCCCCCAAAGTTTGTGTATGTGTAACACAAAAAGTATTTAAGGGGCGGTTTACACGCAACGTTTTGAGCCAAAAACTGGAAACTTTTTATGCGTTTTGACTGTTCGTTTACATGACAACAGCGTTTTGGGGACTGAAAACGCATATTTTTGAAAACGGGTTTCAAAGTGGAATTTTTTCAAAATGGCACCGTTGTCGTTTCCGTGTAAACACCCAATACCGGAATCTTTGAAAATGGTGACGTCATGCGCGTGCGTAGTACATGTTAGGTATGTAGACATGTGCAGTACATGTCAATTTTAAAGGCAAACATACACAACATACACAACAATGGCGGAGTATATGGTACTTTTGTTGCTGCTCAAGAGTTTGCTAACGCTTCTTCAGCAAAGTGTGGATTTACTTCACCAATAATACAACCAACAGCGGAGACGCATCATCCATCATATAATCTTCACTTCCCTACAGGTATTGTTTACTAACAAGGTGAACACGCCAACTACTGGCCTGGCATACGTAATACAGCGTTTTTGGCCGTTTTCGCGGATATGTGTAAACCAGTGTAAATGCGAATTGTTTTGAAAACATTGTCGCGTATACGTGAAACTTTTTAAAAACGCAAGGACCCACTCGGAGCGAGAACGAGGTGTGGCGGTGAGGACCCGGGGGAGAGGGGTAACATTGGTGCCGTGACCCGGATGGGAGTGTGGTTCAGGGGGGTGAGTGCAACGGAGACCAGTGGTAGGTGCTGTGCAGGTAAACCTCACTCCCCTGATCTCAAGAGACGCACTAGCGACTGACGCTAGGGGCTGCGGTCTTTAGCCTCCTTGTTAGTGTGTCCACCTCACATGCCGGTGACCCGGGTTCGAAACCCACTCGGAGCGAGAACGAGGTGTGGCGGTGAGGACCCGGGGGAGAGGGGTAACATTAACAACTGTTTCTTTTGGTTATCTTAATTTTAAGGCCTGTATGTGGTTCAGTCCTAGAAATATAGGGATCTCAATGTGGCTCAATGAGTAAATTGTTCACATTTTCAGCAAACAAAAATCAAAGGTCACTTGGGAATACAGATGTTACTTTTTTTAAAAGAGAAATGTCTGAAGGAAAGAAAACGTTGAATGTTGTAACATTTTTGAACTGTCATCATTGGCATTTATTGCAACAAAAATTGCTAAAGTCAAATTTTACCAGTAGACCTACCCCTGTAATGTGGCTCTAAATATCAGGTGAAAATTGTCATTTTGACACCCCTTTTCAAAATAGCGGAATACTCAGTAAATTCTAAGCCATGACAATAATATTCTGGCTTTCATCATTATTTATGTTTTTCTTTCTTCAGAAAAAAAAAAAAATTTGAGCTGGGGAGGTTTCTGAAGTTCTGTCACAAAATAGCCCACTTTGATGATGTTATATGATTAAGTAAAGAGTGTGACGTTCACCTTGTCAACAAGCTTGTCCATGTCTCGCTCTGAAGGAAAGTATTTTTTTACTTTCGTGGCTATTCGTTCTCTAAGCTCCACGTTGGGAGTGCCTTCCTCCTTCTCTGCTCCAAGTACAGGCACTGAAGCAGACTGCACGTTCTCCACGATGTCACTCACAAGATTGGCAAGCCCACCCGAACCAGCCAGGACCAACCAGGGCATTGAATTCATCAGAGAGGTATCTAATGCCTGAGATGAAGAAACATGGTAAAGGGCCGTTCACACAGATTGCATCTCTGCGTCAAAAAACATGAGATGCAGCGCACAGGAATGGTTAAAAATAAATAAATAAATGCAGAATGCCATGTTGCCATCAAATAAAACAGTTGCCATGTCAACTTGCTACAGTAAACAAAAGCTCACAATGCGAGTGGCGCTGCTTGTAAAAGTTGAAAAAGGTGTCTTAAAACCCAGCGCTCATGTGCGAGATGCTGCAAAAGACGCGAGACGTGAGCGCAATGGTCATACACGTCCGTCTAGCACCTGTTTACGTGGAAAAACAATGGAAAAGTAGTGCACTGAAATGGAAAAACGTGTTCTGTGTGAACGGTTCCTTAGAGAAAAATTAAAGGGATAGTTCATTCAAAAATGAAAATTTGCTGTTAATTTACTCGAGATGTAGGAGTCTGTTTTTCTTCAGTAGAACAGTAAAGAAGATTGGTCAGTGGCTACCAGCACTTGAGAGTCAAAAAAGCATATACAGGCAAGACAAAATGAATACCGGTGACTCCTGACAATATATTTAGGTCTTATGAAGCGAAACAATTGGTCTGTACAAGAAACTTAACATTTACAGCATCATTACCTGTAACCCAGAGTCTCAGGCATCTAGGGAAGTCCAATACTTTTCCACAAACTTTTTTTTTTTTTCTTCAGATAGTTTGTTTCAATGAACTGGTTCAAATAACTGATTTACCAGGTTGTTTACGTAACCACACACTGATATCATGTATATGCAATTATATTAAAGCACTCGATGTGAACAAATGTTTTATAAACAAATTAAATAAAATTTAAGTCAAAGTTTTTGTTCCTGTTTTATTTATGTTGATGTCACAGCTTGCAGACGATCGCTACGCAAAAGCTTTGCAGGCTCGTGACTCTTTAGCTCCTATTTAGCTGTATCTCTCTTTTATAAATCTGATAAAACTAAAGACTCTTTGGAGATATGAAGGATGCAGTTCTACTCTATAGGTACTCAAGATTAACATGAGATTGGCAGAAACTGTGCGTGTTATGTCCCTTTTAACTCGTAGATCTATGCTGGTCAAGCCAAGAAATGTTTCAGATTATTCATTCTGATTTGATGAACTGGTTCATCCAGTTCATTTAAAAGAACCAGTTCAAAAGAATGATTCATTTGCAAACTGGGTATCACTCCAGACCATGTGCCTGTGGCTCTAGATGACAGGTAATAATATTGTAAATAATGTTCAGTTTGTTGCACAGACCTATCGTTTAGCTTCATAACACATCAATATATCATCAGGATTCATGGTATTAATTTTGTTTTTCCTGTATATGCTTTTTTTTATTCTCAAGTGCTGGTAGCCACTGACTTGCTTTTTATAAATTACCAAGAACCGTGGTTTCTGCTAAAAATCTTCTTTACTGTTCTACTGAAGGAAAAAAAGGTCACTTACATCTAAATTACAGAGGAAGTTTTGTGTTTAATAAAACTAATCTCCTCACCTCCACCATGGAAGTTTCTCCAGATATCAGCATATTCAGAACAGGAATCTCAATGCTTGCACTGCCTGCATATGAGATGATGCATTTAAGCAATTGCATATCAGTCAGTATGAAATCCTTGTTGCTATAATGAAACAGATCTTACAATAAAATACATAAAACATTATATTAAACACATAATATATTTAAACATATTAAACATTCCTACTGAATTTGATTGATATTGTTCATATAATTCAGCTAATATAACGTTAAAGTTTCAGTAATATACTCGTATTATTGTCAAACTTTGTCAAATTCCATCATCACATTCCCTTCTGTGGACGCTGCCTTTATACTAAAATGTATACTAAATTTCTTTATACTAAAAGATTTGTCCTCTCTTGCAATAGCTCAAAATGACCATTAGGTGGCAAAAACCTCTCCCTTGTTCAAATCAAGGTTTTGCTGGTTAGCCGGTTACAAGTCTGTTCGATGAAACAACTGCAACGAATCCAAGCAATGTAAAGTCAACTCTACATCAATAATATTCTATTAAACACAAATGCATCATGAACATTTATAAACCATTCCTAAGAAGAGAAGAGTGCCATTCAGTTTTATTTTGTACCTGGACGCTGACGTGAAATGTGATTCTCCAGACGGCCTCTGAAAATGACCTCCCCACCTTTACGTCCTACGGTCCCATCATCCACCAGAAGGAAAGCCTTGTAGTTATTATCCAGACACCAGGAGTCACGTGTTGCATTTTGGACAAAATACTTTGCAGGGAAACTTCCCTAAGAGAAACCGAAAGACACTGTTGTTCTGAAAGACTGTGAACCACAAGCTAGTACATCTGCATATTGGGGTATGATTTTTTTGCACTTGAGTGTTATTGGGGGAAGTCTGCCTTTTTTATCGACTATGTTCGGAATTGCATACTACCATACTCCTCTTACTATTTCTGAAGTACATAGCATGTATGGTCTGAACATTACGCTCCGCAAGCTTGTTTTTGCCACAGAATAAAAAAAATAAAATAAAATAAATGCAATTGCTACTTTCTCACAATTCTGACTTTTTTTCTTGCTATTCTAAGGGGGAAAAAATTATTTCGAGATATAAATCCAGAGATATAAGTCCAGATCACTCCCCTCATCTCAGGGAACCGAGGTTACGTTAGTAACCAAAGCATTCCCTTTCTAAACAGTTTCTCTCTTGGGCAGCCATGTCTGGTACCTCCAGAGTACAGCCACCAGGAGGACTGAGCATCCAACTTCCCTAACTCACCTGATGATATGAGGGAGCAAGGAAATCGGAGTGAATGCATACAGGAGAGTGCTGGGCCGATCGTGGGCCAGAGCATATTGCTCCTTGAAGAAATAAGTAGGGCAATGAGAGTTGTCTTCTGAGGCGAAGAGGTCCACGTCTGCCCTCTCGAAGACAGACCAAATCGTCTGAACTACTACATTGATGCATTGCAGACAGCATGTCTGCTCCTTGGTTCAGTCTGCCCGGCACATGAACTGCCCTGAGTGAACACAGGTTGCAATGTGCCCATAAAAGAGGTCTCGCCATCCTGTAGAGGGAGCATGACCTGAGACCGCCTTGAAAGCATTAGCATCAGCTCCTTAAAAGCATAAGGATTCGGGCTGGACTCATCCATTGCATGGAGGAGTTTGGCTTGAAACACTTGAAGCACCACCATCGTGTGAAGCACTGAGGCAGCTTGTCCAGCTGCTAAATAAGTCCTGCCCACTAGAGCTGAGGTGGTCCTGCAGGGCTTGGAGGGGTGCACAGGGCCGATGGAAGGCAGAGATGTGCCTTCATTGAAGGCAATCCGCGAGCGAAGCAGGGCGAGACTCATGCTCTCGCAGTGAAAGCAGTCTGTCTCAGTGTGCGCAGAACTTAACGTGGGCGTGGCTCAGGCAAGCGATGCACTTACTGTGCCCATCTGAGGCATGCAGGGGTGCCCGACACAAGCTACACTCGTAGCACGGCATTTGCAACAATGCCACAGAAATTTGCTCCTAGGAAATTTGCTTTTTGTAATCGCCGGATGGCCGCAGGGGAGAAGCGCTGAAGAGGAGCATCTTTCTGCTGCCGGGGCACTTCTATGGTAAAAGCAGGTTTGTTCGTTCTTCTTCTTCAGAGTCCAGTGAAGAGATGATCCTCGTGCTGAATAGGGATGTAACGATTACCGGTTTGACGATAAATCATGATAAACTTCCCCACGGTTAGTATTACTGTTTCATCTTTTAATTATCACTTATCATTGTCAGCGAGTGGATTTACAGAGACTTATATTTACATTCAGCCTGTGAGCAGTTTCTGTCTGGCCAAAAACGGACCGAATTTGCATGCCCTGCTGTAAATTTTGATCGGTTGATGAAAAACAAGCTTATGTGGATTCTACACATTTAAACAATTCAGATAAGTTATCTACAATTATTTATGGAGCAGATCAAATGCATATAATCATTTATTAATCATTTATCATTTTGACTTATATATTTTCTTTATTTAAAGGCTGAAATGTGAGGTTTACCTTTTTATTAAACTTTTTCAAAGCTTTCTTTAAACATTTACATTAGATATTTCAACATGCTATTAAACTGTTGTCAGTCAAGTTGTCATTTAAAATCCGAACATCATTGGTAATGTTATTGTTTTAGTGATTATGCAAACAAAAAGTCATTTTATTTGTTGATAATACTGATAACCGTGATAATTTTGGTCACTATAATCATGATAAGAAATTTTCATACTGTTACATCCCTAGTGCTGAAGAAGAAAATTCTGATGAAAGCGCATTCAGTTCCAAATGTTTTGGCAGGCTGAAATGCCATTTGTTTGTGCAGCTATACAAACATGAGCAAATCAGACTTCAGTATACAAAGTTGTACTTACCGTTTAAAAAAAATTTTTATTCCATGGCAAAAACAAAAAAACAGAATTGTAAGATGTAAACTCAGAATTAGAAGTTTATATTAAGAGTAACTATATACAGTATATATAGTGTATAGAGGGAATATGTTTTTGGGAACATTTATTTTCAAGATACATGTTGTTTATTTGTAGGAAGTGTACAATATTTAGTATTAAGTATGCCTAGTATTGCACCGTCAGTAATGTAATGTATTTAGTAGTGTTACCTCAGGGTTAACAAGCTGTTGGCGGTTATGTACCAGACCCCAGGGAGCAATGCCTATAGGAACCACTTTATTGAAAGTGGTGGAAGACACTGCAGAGGCATGATCTCTCACAGCCTCTCCTACACACCTGCCGATGCCTTCCCTCAGTCCTGCGGTTATGATCCACGCTCCTATACATCCAAAATCAAAATCCCAAAGTTTAATCAGCTAAAGAGAACCCCACATCACACCCATCCTGGTCTTACTCCACTGGCTCCCAGTTGTGGCCAGAATAAAATTTAAAGACCCCCTGTGGTGAAAATCAAATTTTTAATGTTGTAAAATTAGTAAAGACAAACACTTAGCAAATTCATCAGTTGGTACAAAGACTCAAAAATGCAGTTTGAAACCACCTGCCATCACAAACATGTGACTAATCCCATCAACTTGTGGGATGGGGCTTTTCATATCATTAGCAAAGTGTTTCTACAAAAGGATGTTGATTTTTAGAAGGCAGCAGTCTGAGATGGTGAATGATACCATGGTTTATGTAACATTAGCAAAACATTATTAACTGATTGACAACAAAGTCAAGCCAAAAGCTGATGATATCTATTACAGTTAAATTAGTTAACCAAGCTAATGTGGAGCAGGTCTGGGCTGGTGTGATTGAGTAGAGGCATGCATATTATTTGCATATTCATGAATCCGTGTATACGTAATGAGGGTTGTAGAGTTATATTCAAGCCAATTTAAGACATGAAGAAATTATTTTCACAGGAAAAATAAACATTTAAATTCTGTAATTTTAATTATTAAAGATGAGCTTTAAGGGATATAATTAGTGAATGCGGGGGGACTTGAATGAATGAGCAATGCCTTGTTATTAGTGCTGTCAAACGATTAATCGCATCCAAAATAAAAGTTTTTGTTCACATAATATACGTGTGTGTGTACTGTGTATATTTGTTATGTATATATAAATATACAAACCTACATGTATATATTTTAAAAATACATGTATATATTTATATTCATATGCAATTTATATTATATATAAATATTTTATACATAAACAAAACATTTTTCTTAAATATATACATGCATGTGTATGTATTTATATACATAATAAATATACACAATACACACATATATTATGTAAACAAAAACTTTTATTTTGGATGCGACAGCACTACATATATAACCTTGTATAAAGCCTCGCCTTGTATAAAGATGAATGTATGATTCATATAATTGCTTGCAATACCCGTCACTGAGTAAATTCACTGTGGTCATGCACTTCTCTTTTTCTCATTATGCATTTCAGGTGACATTTACAAACAAAAAGTCACATGGCATACAAACCTTTTTACAAATAAACAACTAACATGTTCTTAAAACAAGCAAGTCTAAAAATTACAGTCTGGAGATCGAAAACTTCTACTCAAATATCAACACTTTAACACTGTTGTGAAAGCAGCAGAATGAAAATGAATGAACAGTAAATGAATCATATTATGTGAGGAGAGAATACGACACCTGTGCTCTGTGCTGCTTTAACCAGCCCCTGCTTCAACACGTCTCGCACCCAGCTCTTGACCTTTGACCTTCCTTCACCACCAACCACTGACACCACCAGGTTTGGCTGCCTCAGTTTCCAGTGTTTTCTCATGAAATCAAAGACCCTGGAAGGATCCGTAGTGCTGGAGAAACGCAGAAACTGGAATAAAGAGAAGGATTAAAGGGTTAGTTCATCCAAAAATGAAAATTCTGTCATTAATCACTCACCCTTGTGTTGTTCGAAACCCGCAAGACCTTCGTTCATCTTCGGAACACAATTTAAGATATTTTTGATGAAATCTGAGGGGTCTCTGACCCTCCCATAGACAGCAAGGTAACTACCACTTTCAAGGTCCAGAAAAGTACCAAGATGATCGACAAAGTAGTCCGTGTGACATCAGTGGTTCACTTGCACCTGACCTAGATCCGGCGTGATGACGTCATTCTGGATCTGGGTCAGTGCTGCCACACGCTCGCGTCATGGTACTGTTGTGAACGTGCGTCCAAAGTGACGCAGTAGAGACAAAAATGTGGAATAAAGTCGTTATTTTTGTTTTCTTTGCACAAAAAAGTATTCTCGTAGCTTCGTAACTTTACAGTTGAACCACTGATGTCACACGGACTACTTTGTCGATCATCTTGGTACTTGGAAGGGTACCAAGTAAGGTATCCTTGGAAGGGAAGTAAGATTAAAATGGGAATTAAAGGTGAAAAGCAACTGTAAATTACAAAAACAAACTACTAATTTGTGACATATGGTTGTTTCGTCAACTATGGGCAAATTTTCTGTGAAATTAAAACTATACACGGTTTACTAAGAAAATTATTTTTGTGCTTTTCTGTGCCCTTGACACAGACCAAAACATTCTAAAAAAATAATAATAATAAATAAATTTAAAAAATAATAATACTTAATTACTGCACATAAATTAATCTAAACAACAAGTGAAAACAAACTTTTTTAATAATTATTAAGAGAAGGGTGTTAAGATCAAAACAGGAATCCAGCCAAAGAGCAACTTTAAATTACAAAAATAAACTTCACCTACCTGTTTCTTCACCTACAGGCAATGTTTATGTCCCAGGGGTTGATTATGATTAAAAATGTTTGTTATATGAAGCCCAAATTAAAACATGACAATTATGTTTTAAAAATGTTTTTATATAAATATTTAATTATTTTACCTGTGCCACAGACCAGAAAAGTTTTTTAAAATATCATTTATTACTGATTTACTTATTTAATATTAATTATTCTAAACAAAATGTATAAACAAACAATCATTAAGTGAAAATTGCAAAATGCGATATCCGCCGAGTTATTCTGTCATGTTTTCTCCCTTTCTTTCCAAACTGCGACAAACGCCAGTCTCCCTTTTCTGCAGAATGCGATATATCCGCTCAACCAATCACAGCGCACCATTCCACGCACTCTAATGGCAGCGCTTTGAATACACCCGGCATATTGTGTAGCTTGTCAGTGTAAGTGTTTTTATTTATGCCATTAATGTTTTTGTTAATACAGCATATACAGGGCCGGATTTACCTCTTTTTGTGACACAGGCAAAACAATTTTTTGGGCCCCCCTTCCCTATTAATATAATAGGCCTAATATTACCACCCAAGCAAACAAAAATATATCTTAATCAGAGGAAACTGTTACAGTGTTTTCTATCACAATAAGCGCTTGCGTTCAGTCAATAAAAATCGATTGTAGTTCTTAATTTGTTTGAGAACTGAGAAAGACCATTCCATTAATAGGTGTGGCGACGTGGCCACATAACCACTTCGGGAGTGCATTATTTCTCTAATCATTTTAATGGCCTAGAGTCACAATTACACATTGTCCAGATGATTTGTTTCAAGACATTTGACATGTTTCCATCCTGAAATCTCGTGTTGAACTAGCTAATTTTTTACGCACCTCATCCCAAACCTTTCGTTGCAAATTCCAAAACGTCATTTTAGAGCATATAACAGAGGCTTGATATGGCCATTGATATGCAGGCTAATGCAGTTATTAGAGAGAGAGAGAGAGAGAGAGAGAGAGAGAGAGAGGGAGAGAGGGAGAGAGGGAGAGAGAGATTAAGTGTGTGTGAATACTTCCATCTGTGCGTCTCTCAGCAGTATTCAGCAGCAGCATCTACTAATATTGAATCTTTAAGTTGAACTGCTTCAAGAACCTCGCTACTGAGAAATGTCATGTAGCTTTTCAGCTGAGAAAACTATTTTATTGATAAATTCGCCGGGCAGCCGCAGCTCTGACAACAAGTTTCTGTCTATGTTGTGTATTTTCAACAGTTTCGATATGAAAAATAACTTTTATATTGATTCAATGGATTTATTGCGTTTTGGGGAGAAAAAAAAGTGTCATGGATTTATTGCATTTTGGGGAAAATAAATAAAATGTTATAATAAATCCTTGAAAATCTAAATCTGGATTTGAATTTTTAATGTTATTATAACCTAAAGATGCTATGTAAAAGTTTGAAACAGAAAATAGTGGTTTTCATCTTGCCACTTTCTTGGTAAAAACACATTTTTACTCAAATTCATCAAAATGGATTTATAGCGTTTTGGAACCAAACTCCCCCCACACACACACACACACACACACATATATATATATATATATATATATATATACACACACACAATTCATTTAAATCTGATTATGTTGCATAGAACTGAATAGAAATATATTTATATTTAATATTAATATAGTTTCTGTCCAGTTTTATTGTTTTACTTTCAATAAAAGTGTGGTTATTTTATTGGCTTGTATTTTATAAAGTTAAATTAAATAGTTTTTCGGGCAAGTGCACCCAGAATTTTCCGTTTCGGCCCAGAATTTCCATTCCGGTGCATCTCTAATAATATATATTTCTATGTGTGTGTGTGTGTGTGTGTGTGTGTGTGTGTGTGTCTGTCCCAGACTACTAATATCAATAAAGTTTTTTTTTTGTTTTTTTTTCATATCTCATACAGGATTCAGCCAGGCTCACTACAGCCGCAATGGCATTAATTTGAACATATATATAAGGAACTCACATAGCTGTGTCTCTTGCCGGCTCCTGCAAACTCCAGTTCTCCATAGGCATCTGTGGGCTGCTCGGAGGAGTGCTGTGTGCTGTCCCAGTGACAGACAATGGCTGTGCTGAAGTAATCGCCCAGGGCCACTGAGGGGTGGAAGTCTCGCGTGGCCCCACACTGACACAGACTGCCATTGCTACAAAAAAATAAAAAATAAAAAAACGGTCAGAGGATCTGTGCTCTGACGAAGAGGTACTGAATACTCACTAAACGTCAACCATCTTACCTGAAAGAGTCCTCCACAAATGTTGTGCACACTCTCTTTTTAAAGAACACTGGAATCCAGCTCTAAAATCAATAACACATACTTTTAAATAATACACTATAAAACATGATACAACTGTGGTCTTGGACTTACACTGTCAACAAGTTACCAAGATAAAGTCAGTGGTATTAAAGGTGGGGTAAGCGATTTTTCAAAAACGCTTTAGAAAACCGATTCGGGCCGAATAGCAAAACAAACTTGTAGCCAATCAGCAGTAAGGGGCGTGTCTACTCGTGATGTGGAGGAGAGAGGGTTCAGTGCACAGGACGGACATTAGCGAGCCGAGCGACAGAAAGATAGAGATGGCGGATAAAAAAAACAAAAGAGGAAAACGTCTGCGGAACAAAAGAAGGCTTAAGGCAAGAAGTAGGACCCGTGTAAATATCGGATCAGCTTTCCAGCGCTGGAGAGAACTCAAGGAGCGGAAGGCCTGCGATCGGACGCCGAGGTTGCTTTGTTTCTTCTCGATAGGTGACTAACACCGTGTCTGCGCCACAACAGCTAAAGTCTGTCTAGTACACTGGACGCGACAAAACGATCGCTGAAAATCATTTGAAATTTGTGTCAGTGCGCAGCAGCAGTTTTCTGTCAGGGATTTGTCGTGTCCAGTGTAGACCATAGATATGTATATATATCTATGGTGTAGACAGCATCACTGATTATAATGAGTTCTAAAGTATTTTGTCGCGCCGCGCCACTCGTGTCCGGTGTAGACACGGTGTAACATTGGTTTTGCTTTGTTTCACAGAACTAATCATTGCCTGTGTTGCGTACATATGTGAGGGGCGGAGCTATCAAAATAGGGGCGAGACCCTTTTGGGATAGGGGCGTGTTTGTTTTGGTGATTTCAAATGTCAACATTGGCTACCAGAAATCACTTACTCTGCCTTTAAGCTGATCATGTGATTCATTGAGGAAAAAATACTGAGCGCAACTTTAAAATGTGTAACACATTATCTTATTGGTAACACTTTACTGTAGGGTCACTATTAATGAGAAATATATTTTTAAAGCATGTATTCATTTTTGTTAATGTTAGTAAAATAATTGTTAATTATTCATGTTAGTTCACAGTGCATTAATAGTCCAAACAGCTGATAAAAACATCACAATAATTCACAAGTAATCCACACCACTCCAGTCCATCAGTTAATGTTTTGTGAAGTGAAAAGCTGTGTGTAAGAAAAAAATCCATCATTAAAGTGTGTTCAACTTCAGACGGTTTCTTCCAGCTAAAATGTGAGTCCATAATTTATAATATTGGATTACTTGTGGATTATTGTGATGTTTTTATCAGCTGTTTGGACTCTCATTCTGACGGCACCCATTCACTGCAGAGCATCCATTGCTGAGCAAGTGATGCAATGCCACATTTCTGCAAATCGACCACAAAACTAGGTTAAACGGCTCACTTCACCCCGACTTGACTTGTAATTTTATCATTAAGTCCCCACCCACCTCTTTCATCAAATAAGCAAGTCAAACCAGTTTACCCTTTACAGAACCTCATCACTTATTTAGACTAGAAGAACTGTTAAGCTTTGTGTGTAGTGTCCCTGCAGTGTCTGGTGCACTGAAACACCAAAGCACAAACTTTACTGATGCACAGTACAATTAACTACTATCATTAAACAGTTCTTCAAGGGAATTTGGGGTAATACTTTTTGGAGAAATAGGATAAGTACTTTAAACAGTTCAAAGTACATCTTCTGAGAACTTTAATGCAACTTTAAATAAAATTATTAAATAATTCTGCTAAATGACTAATTTACTTTCTTAGATAAACTTACCCTACATATGTGTGTGTGTTTACATTGATTAGAATTGAATTGCTGTCATAGAAAATGGAATTGAAATTCCATAAAACAGAGTATAAATTAATGATGAATGTTTTTATCCTGTTTATCATCAACTTTTTTACAGCTTATAAGTCACTTTATATATAAATAACAGATTGAAATCTGGAAAATTATATGCTTTTTTTTTTACTTTATCGTGTAAGTAAACTAGGGGTTTTAAAGGGGTCATATGATGCGATTTCAAGTTTTCCTTTATCTTTGGAGTGTAACAAGCTGATTGTGCATAGATAAGATCCCTGAAGTTGCAAAGAATAAAGTCTCAAAACCAAAGAGATATTATTTATCAAAGTTAAGACTCTGCCACGCCCCCCTAACGGCTCGTTCTAACACGCCCCCACATATCTACCTCACTGTGTGGAAATATTTGCATAATGCCACCCAAATGTGCACGCAAAGAAAGAAGGCGTGGTTTCAGTAACCGCAGTTAGTGTTGAAGCAGCATGTCAGAGAGACGCTGTGTGTTTCAGTGCAAAAGCAAAAGCGCTTTATTTGGCCTTCCGAAAGTAGATGCATTTAGAAATCTTTAAGATTACTTACAACAGAATAGCAATGCATTTTATGGACGACCGTTTCGTGAACCTAGGAGAGGAGGTCATTCTGACTTTGCTATGACAATCTGGCACTTCTGAATCAGCTACTGTTTTGTTATTAGTTTAAGTATTTGCTATTGACTGTTCAAATGCGGGGTCTGTCTTTACATTTATTTTGAAAGATGAAGCTCGCGATTATGGTAAGGGGCGTTACATTTCCGACGAGTGCTTGCGGTGTTCGGCCAATCACAATGCACTGGGTCAGCTGGCCAATCAGAGCAGACTGCGCTTGTCGGAAGGAGGGACTTTGTAGAAAACGAAGCGTTTGAGAGAGGCGGGGCATAGAGGACCTACAATAATGTACAGTATTTGAAAAATAATGTGTTTTTGTAACATTAAAGCATGTCAACATATTCTGTTACACCAAATACACAAAATAATGATCTTTAAAAAAGCATCATATGACCCCTTTAATATTCAAACTCCCCTCAATATATATAAAAAAACACAAATAGTCAAATACTTCAATAAAACACTTGTAGTACAATAAAAAGGTACAACAAATGTTACTGCACTTTAACTTGAACACTGTAGTTAGTAACACTCTAGAAGAAGCTCATGCCAAACACACATGCACAGTCTTGTAATAACCCATGGCATGTTGTTTTTGAGAAACTCCCTGCAGTCCTGCTCAAAGCAACATTAAATCGAAACCATACCGAATTGCAAGCAGTCCGTCTTTGTATTATCAAGAACATAATAAATGGCCATCAAAAGGTTGGAGCGTGCTTGTAAAAATACAAAATCAAGGCAAAGAAGTGCTTCGGTTTGTAGCTATAGGTGCTGCAAGTAATTTTCTGCCAGACCTACCAGATCTTGTTTCGGCATCACGGCCACTGCACCTTCTTCAGCTTCCTTTTCATTCATCTTGGCTTGTTTATGGACTTTATAAAGTCGCTGTTTGTCGTGAGTTTGACTTCAGAGCGCTCAGTCCATGACACCCGTGAACGAGGAAGTCCGGGAGCGCTCGAGACTCTACCTGGGCGCTCAGGTGTTAAGGCGCGCAGGGTGTGAGTGCAGAGGAGAGAGCAGGAAGAGGCACGTGATTGGAGACGAGAAAAAGACGACATGCAATGTTATTAGTTATCTGATTATCTCATTGTATTTATTCATGATTTAGTGTACAACTTCATTTTTTGATCTGGTGTTTTTTATATTTTATTATTATTTAATAATATATTTATTACTTCCTGTTATGAAACAGGACATCATTTCATAAATGTCCACTGTAGAGGACACCAGGACTAAAAGCATGTTTATTATACATTTTGGGAGACAAAAGAATTGAATAGGAAAACAAATTATACATCAATGTTCTTATGAAATATGAGATATTATTATGAAAATCTGGCCAATTACTACTACCATTATTACACTTCTTTTTTTCAACATGCTGTCCCAACAGCACTTTAATATGCAAATTAGATACAGTGTGTAGATAACATTGTGCTTAATGAGAAAACCAGTTTATGGAATTTTTACACACATATTGCATAAAGCAAAATGCTATATCAAATCATTTTGTTATATATTTTATAACATAGTTGAGAACCATCCTTAAACAAAGTTAGGTATAAAAAAATCCTGAAACCTAAAAATTGATTGGTGATTTTTTTTTAAATCCCATTGTTTTTGTCTTTTCATGTCTATTCTTGTCTAGAAAAACTGAGTCCTGGTGTCCTCTACAAAGCACATAGCATAACATATAAATAAAATATCATTTTTTTTTCATATCCGTCTTTGTATTATCAAGAACATAATAAATGGCCATCAAAAGGTTGGAGCGTGCTTGTAACGATACAAAATCAAGGCAAAGAAGTGCTTCGGTTTGTAGCTATAGGTGCTGTAAGTAATTTTCTGCCAGACCTACAAAGCACATAGCATAACATATAAATAAAATATCTTTTTTTTTTCATATTATTTTTCCATTTTTTTCTTATGCTCTAAACAATGTAATGACATGAAAAATACTAAATTCACAAAGCTTTTTATTTCTGGTTCTCAGGAGGATATATCATATTTAATAAATACATTAGAAATACACGTGTGTGATTTTATATTCAATTAACAAATAAAGTCAATATTTAATTATTCATTGTAATTAAATATATTTATTTTAAATAGAGAAATCAAATTGCCATTTATATATTATATTAAAATTAGTAACAATGTCTTTACTAAAAAATTTTAAAAATCAGTAACTTTTGCTCCAAAAATTTTTTTTATTATGTACCCTATTTTATTTTTTTTTTTTAATGTACCCTAAAAGGTAACAGGTCCCCCTCATCACTTTTTGTAAATTTTTATTTTTAATCATAAAGATTTTTTATTCTTTATTTTAAAATTATAATTTAACATTATAATATAGACATTTTATTTATTTTTTCAATTATTTTTATTAAACCAAAATATCTGACAATCAAAAATATTTTTATTTTTATTATTTATTTTTACTCAATAAAAATAAATAATATTTTTTGATACTTTAATGCTCAAAATATATGGCATATTTTCCTTTAAAACCCGATGGTAAATATGTTATTAAATTGTTGAACAGCACAAACTGTAGACCATAAAGTAGTTCTATGTGTTGTTTATTCATTGTAGTACTTTTGTCACCTTTATATACATTTTTAAATAGAACGCATACAATCTTTATACAGTAAGAGCAACCTAAACAAGGTCTATCAAAGACATGCAATATCTTAGTTAATTAGTTAATACAATATACAAATAGTTAACTTATTTGAACTCTTTTTTTATAGCAACATCCTGAGCAGTACCAGTCAAATACATTCTGTTCACTGATGAATGAGCAGAAGCTCATCTGTGATGTGTATTCTTAGCGTCCATATCCTGTTGGGTCATTTGCATTTTTGGATTCTTCTTTTCCATTGCTCTGACCCATGCGGTATAACTTGCTCGCCAGGTTGTGTACCTGACATGTCCCAAGCTGACAACCTCTTTGAGCTGCTCGCCTTCTGCAGAGGACAAGACAAATGTGAATCCATGTGTGTAACTGATAATTGATATCAACTTAAATCCCAAGAAAACAACACAAAAATATATGTTTTTTATTTATATATGTACAATACCATTCAAAGGTTTTGGGGTTTGAAATAACATAATACTTTTATTCAGCAAGAATGCATTAAATTTATAAATAGTCACGGAAAAGACATTTACAAAATATTTCTACTTCAAAAAATACATGCTGTTCTTTTAAACCTTCTGTTCATCAGACACTTATTGCGGTTTCCACAAAAATATTTAGCAACTGTTTTCAACATTGATAATAATCAGAAATGTTTCTTTAGCAGTAAATCAGCATATTAGTATGATTTCTGAAGGATCATGTGACACTGAAGACTGGAGTAATGATGCTGAAAATTCAGCTTTGATCACAGGAATCAATTACAGTTTAAAATGTATTCACAGAGAAAACTGTTATTTTAAATTGTAATAATATTTCACAATATTGCTGTTTTTACTGAAGTTTTGATTAAATAAATGCAGTCTTGGTGAGCTGAAAAATATCATACTGACCCTGAACGTTTGAACGGTACTTTAGCTCTCACTTACTCTCTGGCTTTTTGAAGGATGGTTTGTAGAAGCAGAGAAGAGGTTGCGTTTAGATGCGTTTTTCTGGTGGTTTTGGTCACAACTGATGGAGTCTCTCTGTCAGTGTCAATCAAGGTCATGTCTCTTGACCTCTGTATGCTCTTCACTAATGAGAGGCTTTCTGTCTGTGTCCTGTTCAAAAAACACATGTGACAGTGAATATACTGTGTGAATATACTGTAGCGTGTGTGTGTGTGTGTGTGTGTGTGTGTGTGTGTGGTGAAAGTGCACACACCTCTGTGTCTGTCTCACTGGTGTGGTTGTGCTCATCGGTATAGTCAGCAACAACAAAACAGCCACTTCCATAATGGTATGACCTACAGAGATATAAATTACACACAATATATAATAAATATAAATGTATTATATATAAAACTTAGGCCTTAGGCCAAAATATATAGGCTTA